TCCTGCTTCCCTGGGCAGAGCTGCCTGCTCCTGTGTCCTCTGCTCTGTCTTGCTGATCTCCGCTTGCCTGTTTTGGACTGGAGAGCCCCAAACTGGACCCAGTACACCACTGCTGGGGTCTCCAAGCAGAAGCTGGAGAGAGGATCTCTCCTTGCTCGCAGCCCGGGAGGCTCTGGGCATCGTAGCCACGAGGACACCCTGCTGTGTCCTCTTCAGCCAGCTGTCACCCAGCCCTTCTCCAACACCCTACTGTCCCCTCCTCAGCGTGTCTGCAGGCTCTGGCTGCGGGGAGCTGGGCTCTGAATTGTCCCCTCTGTTGGGGCAGGCGGCGGAAAAGTTCACTCCAGTTTGAAAGCAAACAGCCTGGCTCAAAAGGGCTCCACGAACCGCAGCAAAGCAGCGCTCCTTCAAAACAAGGAGACGGAAAACCTTCCTCCCGCTGCGCTCCGAACCGCGGGTCTCGCTGGTGGCACAGCCGCTTCTGTCTCTGGGCAGGCAGGGATGGTGGTGGGTTGTCCCCTCCATCTCCGGATGGAGACCCGTCCCGGTGCCTCTCTGCAGAAAGGCAGGGAGGTTCTTCCAGGTGCTGGGGGTGGAGAGCCGGCTGCAGGCTAGGCAGCGATGAAGCGGTGAGAAGTACGGGTGGGGAGGAGGCAGATTGCGCCTGGCTGGCTGGCAGAGCGTGGGCGAGAAGAGGACAAGCCCTGCTGTGATCTCTCCCAGCTCCTCATAGATCAGGGACAGACAGACAGAGGAGGAAAATGAGGTGCCCAGAGATAGCAGGGGCTGGTGCTGGGTGAGGATGGAGGGGGACAGCGGGGATTGCATCTCGTTTTTCCCTGGGAGGAGGGTGAATCCTTCCAGTGAGCGTGGCACAATTCCACCACCTCCCTAATAAAGCCTTCCAAGGGCACCGCTGCCCTCCTCCTCAGCAGTTTGCTAATTATTTCCTTGGCGCTGTGTGTGCTAACGGGCTGTGCCGTGCCGATGCTGCGGTGGTTGTCGCCTGGACTCGGAGCTGGGCTCTGCTTTTGGAGAGGGTCAGCTCCGCTCTTCGGGGGGTGGCACGGTCCCTCCTTGCCCAGCTGAGGCCATGGGGACGATGACTGTGGGTCCTGCTGGGGCAGGCGGCAGGGACGTCTGTGCCCTCCTCGGTCCCATCCCTGGAGCGGGCTGATGCGGAGCGTGGGTGTCACCGGTGTGACGATGGGCTGTGACACCAGCCAGGTCCCCATCTGACGGGCACAGCTTCCCGTCACCGCAGGCAAGGGCAAGGTGCCAGGTCAGCGGTCTCTTTGGAGAGCTCTTTGGCGGCTTGTCCTTCCCCATGTGCTAGCTGGTCCCTCAGCCCTCCTCTGCCACGCTCCCTGGGACACGATGGCAATGCCCACGGGGGTGGCACGGGCTCGCTCCGGCTCTGCCTGCGGCTGCCAGCGTGGTAGACAAGGAGGATGCTCTGGGTGGGCTCCAGAAACACCCGGCTTTTCCTTGCCACCCGTCACCGTCTCAGCAAGCCAGGGCGGGTGAATGCTCACCTAATCCCTCTAAATTTCGCGACACGAGTGATCGGATTAACCTAAGCCCCTTTAAAGGAGGAGGGGGAGCAGAGAAGCATCCCGCTTCCTCCAGCCGTGAGCGGACTTAGAGGTCGCTTCTGCTCTGTGGAGACGGAGCCCAAAACACTCAGTTTCCAGTAGCCCGTGAGACTGGCTGAACATTTTGGATGAACAGAAAACTTACTGTTTTGGAGAAGTTTGTTTCCTCAGCAGAGGAAGAGAAACAAGTTTAGCTGGAACATTTTGAAACTCAGCTCCCCAGGACACCTTGCCAATATTTTTCTGCCTCCTCCTGCCCCGTATTTCCTTTGCCGTTAGCTTTGAAAGCTTTCACCTTGGTTTGGCAGCGCTTGACATCCAAAATGAGGTGTTTAGATCTAGGGTCACCTCCTCCAAGCATGGCCAGGCTGGCCCCGGTCCCCCCCATCCCTCAGCTCTCCCTCCTGCTTCCTCGACAGAGCGATGGGCAGGACTTGGACGGCTGGTTCTCCAGGGGCCACCGGTCTGACCGAGCCACCACGCACCCCAAACTCAACCTGACCAAGCAGGCTTTGCCCTGGAACGAGCAGGTAGGTGGGCAGGGAGCAGCAAAAGGGGTGGTGGTGGAGCAGGGGGTCCACCCAGCCCCTCGTTTGGGAGCCCACAGCCCACATTACCCCAGCATGCCAGGCTCCGAAGCCAGCTCCAGCCGTCCTCCTCCCTGCTCTCCATCACTGGTCCCGGGGGCTCTGCCCGGTCCTGGGGTCAGCATGGTACCCGTGAGGATGAGCTCCTCGGGTGCGTGCCGTGGGTGTGCGTCAGCCTGTGCGGTTGTGAAGGGGACAGCTTGCTGCCTGTCTTCTCCAGATGGGTCCGTGCTGCACCCGCTTCCTGGTGCTGGCTGTGTGCCGGTGGGATGGGTGCTGCGGGTGGGTGAGGGACGGGGTCAGTGACATCCCCAGGGCTTGACACCCGCCTTCCAGCCTGCCCTAGCGCTGTCCTTGGCAGGCGAGGGGGCACCTGAGGAGGACAGCCCGCTCATCTCCCTCTCTTGTCCCCCAGTACAAAGGGAAGGCAAACTTGCACGTCTTCGAAGACTGGTGTGGCGGGGCCGTGAGGCACCTGAGGAAGAACCTCCATTTTCCGCTCTTTCCCCACGTGAGTCCTGGGCCCAATGGCGACGGGTCGGAGGGAGGGTCCACTCATCCCTCTCTGGGTGCTGCTGCATCTCCACTGGCTGTGGGCTTGGTCCTCCAGGCCTTTGCTTGCAGACTTTCAGGTTTGGTTCGGGGCAGGGAACTCCCAGCAGAGCAGGGATGGAGGGAGAGGTGGGTGGTGATGGGACCTCCACATCCCCGCTGGTGCCAGGGACACGGGGCCTTGGGATAATGAGGAGGAGGTGGCCTGAGTGGTGTTGGAGCAAGGCGTGAGCCTGGGCACGAGCGGTTTGTGCTTTCACGTCCCCGTCTCTCCTCCGCAGACCCGCACCACAGTGAAGAAGCTGGCCGTGTCGCCCAAGTGGAAGAACTACGGGCTGAGGATTTTTGGCTACATCCACCCTTTCAAGGATGGTGAGTGACAGAGCTTGGCCTCTTCTCCCCCTGCAGCAACAGGGAGAAGCTGCCTCCTTCCCCCTGCTTGGGCCAGAGGAGGACAGAAAGGCTCTCAGAGACAGTCCCCGGGCTCCCAGCCAGGAGGGTCTTTCTGCAGCAAAGACCCTTTTCCCTGGTTCAAAGGGAGGTGAAGCCCCGGTCCCAGCCAGGACGGAGCCAGGACATGGGGTCTGGGGTGGCCCCGTCGCCTCCATCCGCCCGTCCCTGCTTCCCCATCTCAGTGCCAGGCGCCGGAGCTGAGCCCACGGCGCCGGGGCCGCCGTTTCCCTCTGCAGTGACCTGCTCCTTTGCTCTCCGCAGGGGACTTCCAGTTTTCGGTGGCGTCGGATGACAATTCGGAGTTCTGGCTCAGCTCTGACGAGAGCCCGTCCAACTCCCGGCTGGCTGCGTTTGTGGGCAAGGTGCGTGCTCCCATCTCGACCCTCTGCCCATCGCGGCACCGGCGATGCTTGAGCTCCCACCGAGCGCGTCCCCTCCGTCGGGCTGCCTCGCTCCTCGCTCCCAGCGTGCTGACTCCCATTCCGAGCGCCGTCTGGGGATCCCTGCCGCTCAGCAATGACGCTTCAAACCCGCGGGCGCTCTTTAGCCACCAGGCTATTTCAGCCTGGTCCCACCTCTGCCCCTGGCCAGGCCTCGTTTGGCTTCTGAAGGACCCTCTGCCCCTTGGTCCCATCCTAGTTTGAGCTACCAAAGACCAGCCGATGTCCCAGAACAGGAGATTTAATATTTGCTCCTGGATTTTCTTGGCGTTAACTCCTATAACTGGAAACTCTGTGCTCCGTCACCGCATCCATGCATTTTTGGGAACTTGGTGTTGTCGGCCGGTGGCAAATTCTTGTGGCAGGAGTGCCACCAGCTGGGGACAAGCAGGCCCTGGGACAGAGCTCCAGGGCTATCGTCCTGCCTGAAGAGCCTTTGGGCAGCATGGCGTCGTGCCTGATGGAGGTGGAGGGGAGATCCCCACAGCCCGGTGGCGTTTGGCCCGTGGTGTCCCCGGAGCTCTGACACACTCCTCCTTCCTTCCCGCAGCTGGGCACTGAGTGGACGGCGCCGGGAGAGTTCACCAAATTCAGCTCACAAGTCTCCAAGCCCCTGCGGTAAGCGTGTCCTCGCTCCCGCTGCCCATCCCGGGCGGATGAAGCTGCGGAGGTGGAGCTGCTGGCTCCACACAGACTCTGAGCAGCTCCTCCTCCCTGGGAGGTGACCCTGGCCACGGTCTCTTCCCAGAAGGCACAAGGGGTCTGGGCTGGGAAGGAGCTGAACCAGCCGTGCCCCCAGGTCCGTGGCTTGAAGGTGCTGGGGGCCCCAGCCACCTCTGCAGATGATGGGGGGGAACAGGGGATCCCCCCGATCTCGTGAAGCTTCCCAGGAGCGGGATGGGGCAGCACATACCCACATCACGCTGCCCGTCTCCTCGCCCCAGGAAGGTGTAGCCACACTGAGCAAGCAGGGAGGGTTTCCCGAGCTGGCTCCTCTAGCAGGGGAGCTCCCATCGCCCTGGCAGCGGTCGCAGTCAGCTCCGCAATCGTTTCTAACTGGCTTCCTCCCCTCCTCCGCAGCCTCATGTCCTCCAGACGCTACTACTTCGAGCTGCTCCACAAACAAGACGACCGAGGTTCAGACCACGTGGAAGTTGGCGTGAGTAAATGCCCCCACCCGTGCTCCTTTCAGGGCTTGTCCTGTCAGGAGCTGGCGCCAGGGCTTTTCCCGACGTGCGTTAAAGCACTTTATCCTGGAGCAAAGCATTTCCCCTCCCCTGTGGCTGCCAGTGGCTCCGGCCACAGAAGGGACGGGTCAGTGTCACCCCGATGGAGCTGGGGCTCCGTCCCCATCTCCCGGGGCTAGTCCTGCACGGGACGCCTGGCACGGGCTGCTTTTCTCTGTGTTCGTCCGATCCTTTCGTGCCGACGGCCTTTCGGGAGCTGAAGACCCTGCTGTCCCTCCCTTGTGCTCCCGTAATGGATGCTAACGGAGCGTCCCCTCCGCTCCGGGCTGCAGCTCGGCGTGGCAGCCCCATCCCTCCTCCTTTTCCTTGGCCTCTGCCGAAGGGCTGGCAGAGGGGGAAGGGCCCCTGTGGGCTGCTGCTCGGAGGAGCCCGTTGCTGTGGGCAAGGAGACCCCCGACCACGTAAGCCCAGAGCAGGCGGGTCCCAGGACACCATCTGCGGGTGGCAGCCCGCCTCGCTGGTCTGCATCCGGGGGTCGGTGGTGGGAGAGGTGGCCGAGGCGATGGAGTGGGTCCCTGTTTTCATTTCTCCCTTAGAGATACTGTGACATTAAAATCTGAATTTGTCTACTTGGCTGCACAGCCCTGCAGAGCCTGGAGCGCGTGGGTCGGGAGCTTGGGCTGTCTTTGGGAGGGGAAGATGTTGGCTCGTTAGCAAAGGTTTCCTTTCTCCCAAGCAGTCATTAATCACTAGAGTCAGACTTGTGCCAGCAAAGCCTCGGAGAGGCTGACAACACCCCTTCCTCGCTGGCTCGCTGCTCCCCATCGCTCAGCCTCGCCCTCCCAGGGCTCCACCTTGGTCCGCCCCGATAAGATCTGCATTTCTGCTGTGAAAAACAAACAGGGAGGGGGAGGCGTTTTTTGGCTGGAGGGGGGGGCTGGTGTCTGGGTTGGTGT